TGTTTCATTTGTTGGAGGAAAACAGAATCAAAATAAAATAATAGAGCACGGTAGGTTAGATGGTAACAGAGGTTAAAGCTTTGTAAGGTCCTGGTATTGCTCATGAGGAGAGCAGATTTCTGGGGACAAGCACATGGTTTGCCCACTGCACCAAAGTTTAATACAAGAAAATCCTGAGTCTCAGAACTCTCCTCAATCAACACACCTTCCCTCGGTGACCTCGCCCAGCTGCTCTGGAATGCAATGGGGAACAATCTTGTGTGGTGTTCATTGTTGTGTCTTCATTGCCTGCAATGGTACCTGGCATCATAGGAAAATAAAAAACAGTGTTGAATGAATGAATAGTTTCTTCTAATTGTTTTAAATGCTTCATAATTGTTACTTATAGCTCAATTTGGCTGCAGCATAGGCACATGAAAGGAAGTCATAGGAGATAAGGCTGAAAATCTTGGTTGGCTCTAGATGATCTAAAAATAATCTAGTTAGTACATATCATGATGTAGAGGGAGAAACGTGATAGATAGTGCATGTGGTGTGCTAAGTCCCCTAGATTTTATAAGGAGACTCAATATATCCAGTTGTTAACACTGATAAATCAAAAATTAAAATGTTATTTTACTACGCAAAGCTTTTTATTAAAAAAAGAATGGAAACTGTATGTGGTGGTTGCTTTTGGGGAATGAGACTTAAGAGACTTTACATTTCGTTTTATGCACCTTAGTGTCAGTTGAAATAAACCCAACTTTAAAAGATTAAGTAAGCCAGTGCCTTGAATGCCAAGCAGAACAGGGCAGACTGTCCTTAACTATGAAAACTTAACATTGCTTGATCGGTCTTCTTCCTGCAGAGGCGCATTGTGGGTAATGAAAGACTTCAGGATGGTGATTCCTTGCAGGGAGTGGGGCCGGAGAGGGTAGGGGAGAAAAAAGATGAAGTGATTGGAGTCAGGGCAAATGCTGAGAAACATCTCATGTGGTTTCATGTGCCATCCTTTTATTTGCCAGCACCCTCTGCACAGGAAATCACAGGGCTGTTGAGCATCTTGATAAGCTTCACTCAGTCATCAGGTTTCACTCCAGCTCCTGCAGGCATCTCCCCATCCTCAGCTGTTTGGCAGTCCCAGGAGAAAGCACTTCCTTCTCAACTCACCAACTCCAGTAGAAAGAATGGTGTTAAGGTAAGAGTTTGTTCAAGAACTGTCTTCTTTCAAAGGCAATTTTGGTTTTTACCTTAGTCCGCATCCTGATGAATTAATCAGGAGAAGAAGACAGGAAGCTCCTACGAGGGGAGCTTTGGATGCTGGCAGCTTAGCTGGTGGGAGATCTGAATGAGGTCAAGCAGGTTCATTTCACTTCTGTTCTATCTACCTATATTCTCCCTTCTCTTCAACCATTCAAATCTACAACTATGGAGAGAAAGATTTTGCTAATTTTAATTTAGGAGGAGGGTAGAGTGAAGGCATTGCTTCTCTAAGATAAGTTATTAGTAATAACCTCAGGTTGCACTGATTTTATTTTTGTTCAAAAGGTTTCTTTCTTCATGTCTGTTATTGTCCCAGCAGAAAACACAGATCACACACTCTAAAGGCATAGTTAAGAAGAGTTTAATGAAGAGACTGTTTACAAAGATGTGACCAGGGATTAAGGGAATATCTGAAGAATAAGGAAGTCCTCAAGGCACGTGATAGTGGGAGGCTGTTACCATTGCTGAGTGTGAAGGGATAAGGAGAAAGAGAAGTTCTGAGAACTCAGAATGTGCTGTAGCGGTAGCTGAAACTGTAACTGTAGTGTGGCTACAAGAAAGGGCCACCAGACAGGGCTATGTTGTTAGGTAGAATAGCACTGCCACTGCCAACTCACAGCTCTTCAAGGAACAGGGAGAGAGCCAGGAAATTTTTTTAAAACCACCCTCCAATCTGCGGTCAATGTGCACCCTTTGGAGTCAGAGTGAAAGGTATAGCCCCTTGATGAGCCACAGAGATGTCTCCTCCCAGAATGCAAAGGTGAGTAGAGAAGGGTGGACCTGAGATCTTAATGGCAAACAGGAAAAGTCCATTTCTTCCTATAGCCTCTTCGCAGTTTGTATTCCCTGGGACGTTCTCTATTAATGTGCTTGAATCCGTTTCTCATTCTATCACCTCCCAGTTTTTTTGATGGTTTGCCCTTCCCATATAGTGTCACTTCTTTGGACTAGTCTCTCACTATCATCATAAAGACCTTGAGAATGGAATGTGGTTGGGGAAAAAAGGGATGCGTGCACAGGTATAAGTAATTTAAGTTTATGATTTTGGCTCCTCTAAAAAGAAACGTTGTGGTAGTGACAATCAAAAAGAATGTTTATTAGACTTGGGCTGTTGACTCCAAGATATCAAACATCAAGCCTCCTTCCAGTTTCTATTTTCCCATCCCTAAAGAGGTACCCTCACCCTCGTGGTCCTACTGGGCTCCCAAACACATCAGCATTCCAACCTGGGAGAAGAGAAAGAAAGAAGTACAGAAGCAGCTGGTCATATAACTTTCTCTCACCTTCCGTGACCATTACATATGGTCGTGTGGTGCCATCAGCATAAAAGGAAGCCGAGGAATGGGCCTTTTTCTGATCTAAGACTCAGAATTATTATGTGTGAGAAAAGGAGAATGACTTGTGGGGCAACCAGCAGTCTATAGGTCCTGATTCTTTTTTAGCATCTGTGCTCATGTGGAGGTTTTTCTCAAGACTGCCTCGTAGGCATGGAACAGACATAAACCCAGGACAGGGCTGCAGGAGACTGGAGCTGGTATTGGACCTGCTTTTCACCATGTGATTCAGGAAACTCTTCTGTACCTTTTAAGTCTGTCTTTCTTCCTTTGTTAAACGAGCATATTACAATAGATGACCTCCAAGGGACATGTGTTGGAGGCTGAGGATATAACAGTGAACAACCACAACAAAAATGACGCAGGTCTCAGCATCACAAAATGTTGAGTTTAATGAGGGAGATAAAAGAAAAAAACAGACATACACTTAAAAATCCAGCTGCGAACTGTGTTCAGTGCCATGAATAAAAAGGCCAACCTGCCCTGAGGGAGGACATCAGAAGTGGTTTTCCTCCATATCCTCATCAGGCCGGCCAGGACTACAGGAACTAAGGTAGAATGTGATGGATGCATTCAACTTTTGATGCCCATTCTGCATCCCCTCAGAGGTCACATTCTCTTTCCACTTGTAGGCCTCCAACCCATGAGAGTTTTCTGCAGAGTGGAGTGATTGACAGCTGTTTTTCTGAAGCAAGAAAGAGCTCTTGCATTCAGTTGCTTATTCTCAGTTGGCTTCTATTCACATCTCTTCTCTTGGGTTGACTTCTCTTCCTTCCTGTTTCTTAAACTTGCTTACTCCAGGCTTGAAAACAACCTCAATTTTGACCTTCCATTTTGGATTTGATATGAGCATTACTTGCTGACTTTCTCCTTCCTTCGCGTGTAGTTGGCACTGAACGCTTGCAATGGGGCTGCAAGGCTGGCTAAGAGCAAGCACTCTGACACAGTCCTGTGAGTTCAAACACAGGCCCTCCTCCACTTGTTTGTGAGACCTGGAGCATATTACTCAATATATTTGTGCTTTCATCTCCTTATCTGTAAAACGTGACTAATAATAGCACTGACCTCACTGGGTTCTGAAGAGGATTTAGAATGGCTATACCTGAGGAGCCCTCAGCCAGCTGCTGCTGTCCGCCCCACTGTCAGTCAGTGCTCGTTCCCAAGTGGAATCACATAAGCACCTGCCTTTTCCCCCAAAGCCCTACACAGTGCAGACGTGGTTCCTTTTTTCCACTTTCCCACTCCTTTCCCCAAACAGTCCTTTCGCAAATGCTTTAATTCATAGAGCAAACTCAAAATCATCTGGGGGAAAGGATGGGTCCCCTTTAGATGTATTCATACCTCAATGCCCTCTAGTCACCGCTAGACTAGACACTCTCAATTGCCACTTCTCTCTTCTTTTCCCAGATTGCCCCGTTTTCCTCCAAAATGCAGAGAAATTCAGATAAACCCTGAATCCTCATCCTAAACTGGAAGTTTAAACTCTTCGGGTGCTGAGCAAAAGCCGTATACTAGCTCTTCCTGGGTGGAAGATATGACCGTGGCCATTATTCACTATCTGTGCAGGCAGAAGCAATCCCTTCAAATACACCAGAGCTTTCCCAGAAGGAAACATGAGGAATGACGTTTTCTTCATTTCTTTACATGTGTGTTTTTTAGTGACTAATTTCATTTTAAAATGTTGGTGTTCCATTTAGCCCAAATTTTCAACTACTCTTGGTTCCCCATGCATGCATTCATTCTTTCATTTATTCATTCATTCATATGTGGTATAAATTTCTTGACTCTCCACTATGCCCTTACATTGAGCTAGGCACTGAAGACACAGAAATAGATAAGAGAAAAATTCTTATGTTTTCATAAAATGGACCCACTGAGCCATTTCTAGCCTGACAGGCCTGGCCATCCTCAGAACTATAGCAAGAAGTCATATTCCCTTTATGACCCTAAATCACGATTTCCATTCTAACTGTTGATGGAACCCCCTCAGTCATTAAGGGTGGTCATGGGTCATGGCCTGGGTCGTTTCTTCCGGCCTCTGAGTGGAAATCTGTATGCCAGGATAAAAAGAATGCTGAACTCAGATCTCTGTCTCTTGCTGACCCACATATTCTCCCTAGACTTTTCTCCTCCTGCTCCAGGAGACATGACATGGCCTAGGACAGTGAGTGAGGATGTTTGGGTCTTAGAATATTCCCATGTCAGTGGAGAATTTATGCTATAGTAGAAAGAACCCAGGATTAAGAGTTAGCAAGAAATGAGTTTGAATCCAGGTGCTTGGACTCCCTGGCCTTTAATAAATGACTTAATCTCTTCAAACCTCTGTTTCCTCTCATAAGACAAGGCAGTATTTCCCACATAATAGGCTGGTCATGAGAATCAGTGAACACGCAGCAGGTGCTCAAGTCTTGTTTTTGTTCCCAGGGGCACCAGTGGAGGATTTTTGAGCACGGATCCAACCATCCCGGCCTGGGGAACCGAAAATACAGCAATGAATGGGGGTGACCAAGCCCTTCCCCTGCTTTGTGGCAAGGAGATCCCGATCCTGGTCTGGCTGATCCTCTTCATTAGCCTGGTCGGGCTGGTAGGAAATGCGGTTGTGCTCTGGTTCCTGGGCTTCCGCATGCGGAGGAACGCCTTCTCCATCTATGTCCTCAGCCTGGCCGGGGCTGACTTCCTCTGCCTCTGCTTCCAGATTATAGAGTGCCTGGAGTACCTCACTAACTTCTACTATTCCATCTACATCTATTTCCCTAGATTCCTCACCACTATGATAACCTGCACCTACCTTGCAGGCCTGAACATACTGAGTGCCATCAGCACAGAGCGCTGCCTGTCTGTCCTGTGTCCCATCTGGTACCGCTGCCGCCGCCCCAGACACCTGTCAACAGTCATGTGTGCCCTGCTCTGGGCCCTATCCCTGCTGCTGAGCATCCTGGAAGGGAAGTTCTGTGGCTTCTTGTTTAGTGATGGTGACTTTGGTTGGTGTCAGACATTTGATTTCATCACTGCAGCGTGGCTGATGTTTTTATTTGTGGTTCTCTGCGGGTCCAGCCTGGTCCTGCTGGTCAGAATCCTCTGTGGATCCCGGAAGATGACGCTGACCAGGCTGTACGTGACCATCCTGCTCACAGTGCTCATCTTCCTCCTCTGTGGCCTGCCCTTCGGCATTCAGTGGTTCCTAATCTTATGGGTCTTGAAGAATTTTGATGTCCTTTCATGTCATATTCATCCAGTTTCCATTGTCCTGTCCTCTATTAACAGCAGTGCCAATCCCATCATTTACTTCTTCGTGGGCTCCTTTAGGCAGCAGTGGCGGCTGCGGCAGCCGACCCTCAAGCTGGCTCTCCAGAGGGCTCTGCAGGACACCGCTGAGGTGGATCACAGTGAAGGAAGCTTCCGCCAGGACACCCTGGAGATGTCAGGAAGCAGTCTGGCATAGAGATGAACAGCCTCTGCTTCCATCAGCCAGCTACTGTTGTTCACCCCAGAGTGAGTCAGTGATCCTTTCCAAGTGGAATTCACATAAGCATCTGCCTTTTTCCCCAAAGCCCCCCAAAGACATATGCGTCTTTGAGAGGCAACTTTGCCCTTGCCTGTCTGATTTGCTAAACCATCTCAGCTCTGATCTTAAAACAATTAGAATAGTCCTTGTGAGGATGAAGTGAGACAGTGCCTATGAAACAAACTGGGTGCAGTGCCTCTGGACCCGCCTTACTCACAGGCTTCCATCACATCCCCATGAGAGCTTTGCCAACTCTGGGGTCCAGGACTGTTCTCACTTTTAATGAATCCCACCTTTCGCAGGAGGCTGAAAGCAGTGCAGAAAAGGTCTACATTTCTTTGATCACACTGCACCTGATAGGGACTCAAAAAATGTTATGCTTTTAATAAGTTTCTTTTTCTCTTCCATATAATTCCTGTCTCAATAAAATTAGAAGAATTAAATTTAAATCTAGCTCCAACAGAGTAGCCATCTTTCACTTTAGCAGGCCTCAGAATATCCCTCTAGCTTAATAGATCTTTGTTGAATAAAAGGCTTAATGAATGAATAAACTGGTTAATTTTTAAGTTAAACCTCTGAAAAGTCTCCATTTACTATATTTGAGTCACGCCTAAATTTATTGTTTTGACTACTTTTGAATTTTGCAAACATGAAATTAAGCTTTGTAATTAGCTAAATCAATGTCACCGCATAAAGTTTGAGGTAGACTGTCTTCCTGTGGTTTTCTTTCACACGCCATCCATTAAAATCCCAACTACATGCCTTCTCATTCCTTCCCCTTTGCCTTTGCCCTAATCCTTCCTCTCTGGGGGCTCTCTAATTTGCCCTGGAAGGTTTCCAATGGTCTTACTAGACTCTGTGTTCTTGGAGGACAGGCTCTATGTTAGATTTACCTTTTATTCCAAAGAGCTCAGAGCATTCATTTTATTAATTAAATTGCACATGTTTTAAAAAGTTATGTGTTGCACAAAACAAAATACTAATTGAAAATGCTACATCTTCCAATAATTTTTTTATTATTCTTAATTGAGGTTTAAGAAAATGACATGCACAGATCATAATGTACAGTTTAATGAGTTTTGTTAAATGAATACACCTATGTGACTCAAACTTTATTCAAGACATAAAATATTTTCATCATCTCTGAAAGTTTGCCTGTGCTCTTCCCCATCATTCCTCCTGCCCCCAGAAGCAACCATTGTTTCTATTTCAATCAACAAATATTAGTTTTGCCTGACCTTTAACTGTACCTTTTCAGAATCATAATATGTGTATATTTTGTTTCCAGCTCTTGACTCAACATAATATTTCGAAGATTTATCCATGTCATTGCATTGCATATGTCAGTATTTGTTCCTTTCATACAGCTAGTACTATTTAATTGTGTGAGTGTACTATGGTTTAACTATTTTCATATTGACAGATATATGTGTTGTGTATTATGAATTTTTTGGCTATTATAAATAAAGCTGCTGTGAACATTCTTATTCAAGTCTTTTCGTAGATACATGTTTTCATTTCTCCTATACAGACAACCGGGAATGAAACTGCGGGATCGTGGAAAGATGTACGCTTAACTCTATAAGAAATTACCAACCTATTTTCTAAAATGGTTGTACCATTTCAGATTCTGACCAGCAATGTACGAGAGTTCCAGTTGCTCCACATGCTCCCAACAAACATGGTATTGCCAGTCTTTGAATTTTAGTCATTGTAACGAGTGTTAAGTGTTAACTCATTACGTTTTCATTTGCATTTCCACAATGACTTATTAAATTGAACACCTTTTTATGTGCTTTTTGACTACTTTTTTTTTGCAGTGTTTGCTTAAGTTTTGCCCATTTTTATTAAGTATTTGTCCTTTTCATTAAGTATTTGTCTTTTTCATTGTAAATTTGTATACATTTTTCCATATGCTGAATGATTCCTTTGGTAGTTACGTATATTATATTTGTCCACTTTATGGTTTGCCTATTCATTTTTATGTATTTATTTTTAATTAACAATTACATATATTTATGGGGCACAATGTGATATTTTAATCAATGTATACCTTGTAGAAAGACTAAATCAAGCTAATTAAGAAATCCATCCCTTACCAACTTATTCGTGTTTGCATAATGCAAATGTTAAAAATCTATTCTTTAAACCAAACACTGCATGTTCTCACTTACAAGTGGGAGCTGAACAATGAGAACACATGAACATAGGGAGGGGAAGAACATACACTGGGGCCTGTCAGCATGGGGTGAGGGGAGGAAGAGCATTAGGAAAACTAGCTAATGCATGCTGGGCTTAATACCTAGGTGATGTTTGGTAGGTGGAGTAAACCACCATGACACACATTTACCAGTATAACAAACCTGCACATCCTGCACATGTACCCAGAACTTAAAATACAAACAAAAATAAATTTTAAAATCTATTCTTTGTTTGTTTGTTTTGAGACAGAGTCTCACTCTGTCACTCAGGTTGGAATGCAGTGGCACCATCTTGGCTCACTGCAACTTCTGCCTGCTGGGTTCAAGCAATTCTCATGCTTCAGCCTCCCAAGTAGCTGGGATTGCAGGTATGCATCACCATGCCTGGCTAATTTTTTTTTCTTTTTTTTTTTTTTTTTGTTTGTTTTAGTAAAGTTGAGGTTTCACCATGTTGACCCAGCTGGTCTTGAACTCTTGGCCTCAAGTGATCGACCTGCCTTAGCCTCCCAAAGTACTTGGATTACAGGTATAAGCCACCACGCATGGACAAATCTCTTCTTAAAAAAAAAAAAAAGAAAAAACTTTTATTTTAAGTTCGGGGGTACATGTGAAGGTTTGTGACATGAGTAAATTCATGTCATGGGGGTCTATTGTACAGATTATCTCATCACCAAGCTATTAAGCTCAGTACTCAATAGCTATCCCTTTTGCTCCTTTTCCTCCTTCTGCCCAATGCCCTCAAGTAGATCCCAGTGTCTGTTGTCCTTTTCTTTGTGTTGTGAGTTCTATATGCGTATATAATACATTAATATATAATAAAATTATTAATATATAATCATAATTAATAAAACAGTTTAACATAATATCTAATAAAAGAACTGAGGCAAATTGTTGGTTCTGGAGACTAGGATTCACTAAGACTTTCACCTTTTGAATGAATTAACAGCATTTGCAATGACCTAAATGAGCTTTAAGACTATTATCCTAAGTGAAGTAACTCAGGAATGGAAAACCAATTATTACATGTTCTCTCTGATATGTGGGAGCTGGGCTATGAGGACGCAAAAGCATAAGAATGATGGACTCTGGGGACTTGTGGGGAAGAGTGGGAGGGTGAAATGGATAAAACAGAACAAATATGGTGCAGTGTATATTGCTCGGGTAATGAGTGCACCAGGATCTCACAAATCACTGTTAAAGAACTTACTCATGTAACCAAATACCACCTGTACCCCAATAACTTATGGAAAGATAAACCAAAAGACGTTCACCTTTTATTTGACACATATCTGTGTCAATTGGAAAGAAAATGAAAACCAGCATAGAGAGACTTCCTCTTTCCTGCTGCCAGATTATAGATTCCCTGCTGAAACTCATCAGCTCCCTCCACCCCATCTCCATCTCCATCCCCTATATATCACTATGATAACCTGTTTCTACATTATAAGTCTATGCATGCTCAGTGCCATTAGCACCAAGGCACTATAGTCGGTACTGTGGTGCATCTGGTATACTGCTGCCACCACCTGAGACAGAAGCCAGCTGTCATATCTGTCATCTTGGTCCTGTCCCTGCTGCTAAACATCCTTGAAAGGAAATATTGTAGCTTCTTTTTGGACACTCTAATTTCATTGGGTGTCAGGCACTTTATTTCATTACCATGTAGCTGATATTCTTATTCTCTCTGGGTCCAGCCTGTCCCTCCGGGTCAGACTCTGGCTGCAGGCTCTATGTGACAACCTGCTTCTGGTCCTAGTCTTCCACTTCTGCAATCTACCTGCTGGTATTCAATTGTGTCGGGTTATGGGTTCAAATTGACTACAATTTGTTCTTTTGCCTTGATTGCATTGTTTATCTTGACCTGCTAGCAGCTGCACAAACCCTATTATTTGCTTTCTTTGTTGGTTCCTTTAGGCAGTATCAGTATAGGAAGACGCTCAAGCTGTTTCTCCAGAGGGCTCTGCAGGACACTGCTAAGGTAGATGAAAGTGGAGGCAGACTCATTCAGGAAACCTTAAAGCTGTCAGGAGGCAGACTGAGGCAGTGAGGAAAAGCCTCTACCTTGGTCCGTCAGATGTGACTTCGACAGTAAACTAAACGCAGCCCTGCCAGACTTGACAATTACCTGCTCTTCTCTCAGCCTCATGCTCCCAAAGTGCCTCAGTTATTCTTCAGTGTCTTCAAATAGATACATTTAACATGGCTTTTCTAGTCTTTCTCACATAAATCATTAGTCCCAAAGTAGAATATCTGTATCTCTCTCTATGATACAAAGAAAGTTCTTATATTATCTTCTCTGGATCTTTTCTTATTCAACACTTTTTACTTTTTCCAGTCTACTTAAATTTTAATTATTTTGGATACATAATTGTTGCACATATATATGGGGTATATGTGTTATTTTAATATAAACATACAATATGCTATGATCAAACAGGGTAATTGGGGCATCCATCACCTCAAGCATTTAACTTTTTGTGTTAGGAACATTCCAATTCCACTCAATTATTTTGAAAAATACAATAAAATTTTGTTAACTGTAGTCACCCTACTGTGCTACCAAACACGAGATCTTACTGTTTCTACCATATATTTATTCCCATTAACCATCCCCTCTTCATCCCCCACTCCCCACTACCCCTCCCAGCCTCTGGTAATCATCAATCTACTCCCTCTCCCACCCTGCTGCCTCCTGCTGCCACTGATAGCATGCTCATGTCCCAGATGGATCCCCAC